GATGTGTGGTTGTGACTCCAGGTCATTCAAATTATTAGAGAGATAATGCACTCCTTAAGTTTTTATGTGGCCACGACGCTGCACCTTCGTGAATGAATCGTTTGGTGCGATTTGCGAACCGATTTAAAAGGTTCATTGAAAAGAATCAGTTCGTTCTGCGTGTCGGAGCACGTGATATAGTATAAGAAGTAACGATATGTTTTATGAAATGTAGTGAAGTAAAAAGTACGATCTTATGCTTTGGAATGTAGTGAAGTAAAAGTAAAAGTTACTCAAAATAAAACTACTCCAGTAAAGTACAGATACTTGAAAAATGTACTTAAGTACAGTAACGAAGTAAAGCTACTCCGTTACTGTCCACCACTGAAAAGAGGTAAATCTGGCCCTGGCCACACCCCTCTAACTGTCTTTCTCTATGTGACTTCTCACAATCTAATTTCTGATCACAGTCCAGGCTCATTGGAAATACGTGTATTACGATATTACATGCATTACTGCATTTTTTGCGACAGTTTCAAAGTGTAATGTCCAGTTACTTGTGCTAAAACATGTTCAGTGCATGACTGTGACCACATTTGTATTATGTAGGTACGATGCATATTGTTGCGTTTTTATTACGTTTCTTCAGGTACGTATTGTGATGCAGAATTCAAATGTTCAGGAAGTGTCGCTAAATGTTAATGCTCTATCATGATGGAAAATAACATAACTCCCTACACCAAACCCAACCCTAAACCTACCCGACAGTATTAACAAATGCCGGAGCGATATAAAAACACATTTTCTGATGCAACTGTGCTATTTGATCTATTTTAACGTTTATGTTTTAACGCGGGTTGAGGTGTTTTGTCGAACCGTAATTTCACAGGATTCATACCGGAGTGATTCTGTGTTAGAAATCCCATACATTTGAAGGTTTATATGTGATGATAACAATCAAAAGTAACATAATATTTTTCAAGGAATTGTGCGAAAATTAGGCTTTGCTTAAAACTCTGGCCTTGTAAATCATAATTTGTGTGAAAAGGAATAAAATTTGTCAGAGTTTTACTGCCTTTAATGTTTATTTCAACTGGAAACTGCAGCGATTTGTATGTACAAGTATGTTTTTTGTTTTGCAGAAATGTAGAAAGCGTCAGGTATTTCCAATGAGCCTGGGTAGCCTGATTGATATAATCAAGTCCCACTCTTTCTGGTTTCACTCAAAATTGTTTTTGATTATGGAAGTAAAATCGGTCACAAATGGTATTTAATGTTGAGCATCTGTCCATGAACATTGCAAACTTCATGTTTATAAAATATTATTTTAGTACTTAAAAATGAGAAATGTTGGCAACTAGCTGAAATCAATTATTTAAATATAAATTATTTATTTATTATACACGAATTATTTATATAAAAATATTTTTATTTTTTATATTTTATTTCAGTTAATGTTTATTTTATTTAATAACACTGTTAATAACCCTGTCTCACAGAAACATGCCCAGATTACATTTTATCCACAAATTTAAAAGAAGGTAAAAATGATTAATATTTGACAAAGAAAATGAAGTCTGTTTTAGGAATTTTTTTTTTTTTTTTTTTTTTTTGCAATGACAAGGGATAAGGAGCTCACGCGTTTGGAAGGTGTCAAGGCTCATTGATTTGTATTGAAACACCTTAAAATGCTTTAAATGTGAAACAGAAGATTAACTCCTTGAAAACAGTACTTTAGTTGTGTTATACTAAACGCCAGATGTTACAAACGTTACTGCATCACAGATAGCTAATACATATTCTGACAAAATGCACACATTTGCCCTCCATTTGTGTGAAACCACAGTCATACAGTTCTCAAATGTGACACATGGCTGCACTTTGGGGTTTTGCTTTTGGAAAGTTTTACCCAGTGACCTTTCTAGAAAGATACTTCTCAGACGGGAATGCATTAGTAAAGCTTGCAATAAAGTTATGTCACAGTTTGACCTAAACGTAATGCTTAGTGACTAACGGCACTAAGAGAATCTGACTGACATTTGATGGCAATGAAATGACGCATGAAAATTAACACTGCTTGATTATATTGTGAATTATGATCCAGAGCACAGAGGATTGTTTAGAAAATGTTTGTCACTTTTTTAAAGCTATAAATGACACCCTTAAGCATGCATCACTTTGTCCCAGAGCTGGTTGATAGATGGGTTAGTTTTGTCACCTTGTATATACAATGTAAATCCAGTTCTAGAACTGTCAAGAATAAAGATTGCCACAGTCATGATGCATGGAAATGATGAACGCCAAAATGAATTAAATCTGTATAAGTCATATTTATCCCTCTTACTAGGCTTGTTGACACTCAACAGAGCAATTTATATTCCTGTACAGTAACTAAAAAGGCACAAGCAGCTGTTCACAAACCATAGAGGCGTTTTAATTATTTAAACACGTTTTTAGGCTGTAAATGTTTTACCATCACAAACAAATTACTGTACAACCTAATAGAATCCAGAAAGTAATTAAAAACTTGTTTATGCTTCAAAGAAATGCTTAACTGATTAGGGTGTGCATTAACTGTGCGCATTGCAATTTTATTACATTTTAGTTATTGCACTACACGACTATACACACTGTAGATTGAACAGCATACAGTTATATATCACAGGCACACATTCTCAAACAGCAAGACTGTGTGAAAAAAGGTCTACCTGACATCCCTCTCGTCCCAACAAGAAGCAAGGTGCACTGTAGGGGAAACCGGGGCTAGTTGTCACACTTTTTTTCTCCAGTGAATATTTCCCAGGGTGTGTTATTTATGAAAGTCATTTTCTGTATAGACAAGCCTTAAAGTCTGGGATACTAACTAAATAAATAATGGACATTATTGCATGAGCGGGGCATATTGTCACACTCTATGAGGTAACCTACCATTAAAAGCCTATTATGGTTTCCAGTTAAATTTATACAGTAAAACAATTATTAAACACAAAAGAAACACCTTTTTTTTCTCGAACAGATTATAATTAAAGTGAAAACTTGTTCCAACAGATGATTTGTGTTGTGTTGTTACCTAAAATATTTCACAGAAATATGATATTGAATCACAGTTTTCAGAATTCCCACACAAACTAAAATGTCCTAAAATGTCCCCTAGTGACAACTTCACCATGTGACTGTAGCCCTGGTTTCCCAACTAGCAGCAGAAGGAAAGGTAACATTTTACAGTAGTCTATTTTTCAAATATTAAAGATTATTAATGTTCATTCAAATTGAAATAGCATGGATTTTTCTTGTTCTTCTATATTTTTCTTTTCTCCTTTTTCTTCTATATTTTGAGGTTATGACCATTTGAAAGCTGAGTTATTGAACGGTTAGTGATTTAAAAGGTTATTAAAGATAATTAAGTGTTATCGTCACATTAGTTAACCGTTCAGATCACAATTAGGCTATTTTATAAAACGCGAGCGTTCTAGACAAGTTGCGTCGCGTCGCACTCAGTGTGAATGACGCAGCAGAGTGTGCGGTCCCAATGTAACGACTCTTACCTGTTGGAATATCCTTATTTCTCTCAATGCTCTGGGAATAATGAACACAGGACATCAGCGTTAAAATAAACGCGTAAAAGCACCAAAGATGCTCCATCGCCGCTTCGGTGAAGTCCTCGGAGACGATGTGAACGAACAGGTTTGCGAAGTTTTGTGTGGTTCTGCTGGTCAGCGCGCGGTGAGTCCTAGAAACCCCCGGGGTCAGCAATAAAAGCTCTCTTGTAGATTACATAAGTAAAGTAATTTCTATTGAAATTCAGTAGTAATAAGTGTGTTGATTGGTCCCTTAAGAACGAGCTGACTGTGATGGTGCCCTCGATGTTCCCCAGACAGGGTGACAGGAGTGGGTGTGATTGAACAAGTACAGCTGTGTTTGAGCACCCCTCCTCCTGCAGTCCTCAAACACGAGCTCAAATAATGCCCCCTGCACCACCCTCATTCACACCCAGACTCACGCGCTGCCTTCACTGTAAGAGAAAAAAACCTGGACGCTAAAAGTGAAAATTAGCTGCCTTAAATAAAACGTCAATGCCTCTATTAAAAAATGCAGTGGTCATTGCACTTTTTGACCACTTGTTTGACCAAATTTAGAAGAAAACGAACTCAGGAAAATGTATACATCTTGTAAGTCTGTTTGTTTCTAAAACAATCAAGTCAGATATAAAGCAAAGATGGTAAATACATCTTAAAACTCTTGACAAAAAAAAAAAAAAAACCTCTATATGGGAACCTGACACCCTTTTTTCAAATGCCAAAATTTTGAGTTAGGGTTAGTCTGTAGAATTTACAATTAGTGCAATCTACCAGTAGAATGGGAGGTTGGACTCATCATAAAAAAAAAACAAAAAAAAACAAATGTATGTGTGTGTGGTGTGTGGGGGTTTCCATGCATTGTTAGCACCAAATGTCCCCACAAAGACCATAAAACGTGAAATCACCTACATTGTGGGGAGCAGCCAACATGGGAGAAACATTATGAGAAAAAAATGGCTTAATAAACGTTTAATAATGCTTTAATTGAAATGTAAAAGGGTTACATTTATGGTAAAAAATATCATTGGCTCTGTATAAAAAGTGTGGAAGTAAATAGATGATAGAAAAAAATAATAAAATAAAATATATATATATATATATATATATATATATATAGCATAAATTATGTGTTTTCTTACATATAT